TCGACACACAACAGATCCATTTCCACCTTTGGAGCCCTCCACAAGTCCTGGGACCGTGGCCGAAGAGGTCTCCGCTCCTATTAATAGGACTGCCCAAGGTAAGATCCCCCAGGCCCCTACTTCCATTCCTTCCTGCATCCATTCTGGATCCTCTAACTGCTGGGAAGAGATAGATTCTCTTTTCAACAAAAATTTTCACGAGGTAGCGGATATCGCTGCCTCTAACCTTCCTGCTACCACCTGTACTGGGTTATCTGATTCAGTGAAAGATGATGTAAGACGTATTTTCAATGCTTTACAGACTGAAGTGTTAAGAATCTTTTAAAAAATGTAAAACTAGTTGAACATGAGGTCACCTAACTTAAGAGAAGGTTGGCTAAGCCTCCCTCTCCTCCTAACCCCGTTAAAATGACCCCCCAACCAGATACTTCTACCATCCAACTTAGGTCCAACCAACCCACAACTGTACACCCTAGAGTGCCAGTGCGTTCAACCTACGCGCAGACGCTGAAGAACAGTATTGACTATGTGAAAATTGCCTCTGCTAACTCATCTTTCGAGGCCATCAGAGTCAAAATTGCCAAGACTCCACAGTTGAAGAGTTGTGATGTGACCGCAGTAACTGGGAAGGACAAAAAAACTTGTCCTTCACTTCCCAATTCTGCAGAATCAAAGCGGTTTGTGGACGGAATTAAGACTGCCAACATTGACGGTCTTAAAGTTTCGATTCCCGCATTGGGCACTTTTCTGATTTAAAAAAATGCTCCAATGGCCCCCGATTCTTGCAAATGTCCAACCCCACCAACGAGTGCAAGTAACCAAGCCAGGCTCTGGCACATTTGTAGACATGTGGTATACTTACAGTAAAAGCAGTCGCTAACTACCCACCATGATTATCATGGCCTGCACCACGTGTAGACATGTGGTGCACTTACAGTAAAAGCAGTCGCTAACTACCCACCATGATTATCATGGCCTGCACCATGTGTAGACATGTGGTGTACTTACAGTAAAAGCAGTCGCTAACTACCTACCATGATTACCATGGCCTGTACCATATGTAGACATGTGGTGCACTTACAGTAAAAGCAGTCGCCTACTTCTACCCACCATGATTATCATGGCCTGTACCACATATACTAGGGATAAGTAAAAAAAAACGAACAAAAAAACATATTCAATTATTTTTTAAAATATGGCTAATTTTATATTTAATTAGAGTTTTATTTACAATTATTATCCTACTAGACGAATGACCCGGGCAACGCCCGGGTTTACCCGATTAAATGTTTTATTCAAACACTATTCTTTACAATTATAAATTGGCGCCGTGGATGACACTCTTGTGAAACGTCCCGCTCCAAACTTTACAGTCAGATTAGTTACGATATAAATCTTCAAATCGAGCGAGCGTCTATAAATATTTCTATTTAGATCAAGTATTCTAATTAGTAAGCGAACTATTATTAATAAAATTTTAAAAAGATTTCGATTTTAAACGTATTTATAACCTTGATAGAGGGCGCTGTTCGTGAGCTAAGTAGAATCATTTGAATATATAGTTTTAATATTTAATTTATATATAATTTATATATAATACTAGCGGATGTGTACCCGGCTTCGCCCGGGTTTTATCCGAGTGAAAGTTTGCCTAACGAATATTATATATTATGAAGTATAATAAACAATGTTAAAGATTAGATTTAATTATTAATCAAGATTGTGTGTGAATATGTGAGAAAGATGTAATATCGTTGTTGTTTTCTTGGCCGACTGTTTTACATATGGTGTTATCTTAAAATTGCTTGTTTTGAATATTTTTTTAGATTGAGTTGAATGAATTGCTGAATTTTTTTTTTGTATTTATATATAAACTAGACGAATGGCCCGGGCAATGCCCGGGTTTTACCCGAGTGCGTATATATTTTAAAAATGTTTTAATTAAAATACTATTCGTTACAATTATAAATTGGCGCCGTGGATGTCTCTCTTGTGAAACGTCCCGCCCAAACTGTGTGTGTCTTGAAAATATAAAAATAAAAATGTGAACGGAAAAATATGTCCAGGGTAGCCTAGTGGTCATGGCATGTGCCCGGTAAGCGGAAGGTCGTGGGTTCGATTCCCATCCCTTGACACTTTTTTATTTTATCCATTCTGACCAAAATCTATCCATGAACTTCACACAGTGAACTTCACACAGAGAGAATAAGGCAATTATATAAGTAGATAATCCAAATTGTGCCTTATCACACACTATTTTTTTATTTGGCCTTATTACCTTGTGTTTATAATCTATGACGTAATGCCGGCGGCGCGCGCCCGTTGGCTGCCGGCGAGCACGTGACCTCCCTGTGCGCGCGCATCCGTGACAGAACCGGCCGGCCCATGACGGTCGTGACTATATATATAATGGATGGATAATAATAATAATATAATAATAATAATAATAAATTATTATTATTATTATTATTATTATTATCAGATTAGATAATGATAATGATCATAATGATGATGCGCGCGCATCCGTGACAGAACCCATGACGGTCGTGACTATATATGTTGATAAAATTAACTCTGTTGATTTTTTTTTTTGTATTTAATCGATAACAGCGAAGTTACGCATGTTAAAGTTAGGAAAAATATTTTGATGTTAAGCAAAACCTGCTCCATCTCGTTTTACATAAATGTTGAAAATTTGGTCGAAATTGATGCATTGTAACGAAAGTTTTTAGTGAACAACACTTATGAAATTTGCATTTTATTAATATAGAAGATATAGCCTAGTGGTCATGGCATCTGCCCGGTAAGCGGAAGGTCGTGGGTTCGATTCCCATCCCTTGACACTTTTTTTATTTTATCCATTCTGACCAAAATCTATCCGTGAACTTCACACAGTGAACTTCACACAGACAGAATAAGGCAATTATATAAGTAGATTAATAATAATAATAATTATCATTATAGATAATGATAATGATC